AGAAGAGAAGAAGAGTTTTTTAACTATGTTAGTAAGTGAACAGAGAATACAGTTTAGTTATTCACAATAGTTCCTCATCTTTTGGTCTTTTTAAACCTTTAATCTCAATAAGGCTACTCAAAGAAAAAGGTTATCCTATAGCTCAGTGAAAGCATGGGTTTTAGATAATTATAATGGGTGAAAAGAAAAAATTATTGCTGATTTAATTTCAATGTAAACCCAACTGGGGTCAAAACACCCAGGTGAAGAATGAAAATAAATGCACCATGTAAGAAAAAGATTGCATCAAAGTTACCACATCCACAGTTCTTGACTCTCAATCCTTATAGAAAGCTGAATTAAAGCATACCCACACCTCAGCCTGATGTCCGTCTCCTAAAACCATAGACTGGAAAAATATATACAGTACTTATAGGACTAATGTGCATTTTGATATATTCATCAAAATAATGCACACTTCTTTTTCAGAGTATGGTCTTGCAGTTGGAAGAAATAAAAATAACTGAATTGTTTTTGTTGCTTACTTTAAACAGATGACTCCTACACCGCAGGTTCATAGGCCTTTCACAAACCTTTACACACTTTTTTTGAAACATTTATTGTGATTCTGCCATGGGAACCAAACTTGTCAACAATATTCATCTAATCTACAGCTTCACTCAGACATGCCAAGTGTTTGAAAGCCTCAAGCTTTTTAATGAGCTCACAAAATTTGAGCTATAATAATGAAAATAAGGACATTCTGTATGCAATATCTGACCTTAAATTCACTGATCATTACAGAATTCAACAAAACTATATTTCATATTTTTCAATTTAGAGTTTATCAAAACTTAATTTGGGGTTAGTGCCAAAAAACATCAGTGATTTTGCACTGTCAAATCTCTATTTGTTTAATTTGGAGGCAACTGTCTTTAAGGGCACTTACTGCGTTCCAAGAATATCAAAACACAGTAGACTCACTTCTGCACAGCAAACTTCACAAACAGATATTACGAGGCGTTAAAAGAGTATTTAGATATGAGCAATAACACAAAATAAGATTAATCTGAGTTAAAGGTGTGATACAGATAAGTACAGCTAAATGATTAAACAGCATGTTTCAGCAAAAATAGAATCATTAGAACTGTACTTGATGAAATTAGAAATAAAAACAACCAAAAAACAACAATTTGTGCTCTATACTGCGGTCTCCTGGGGTCTCACACAGACAGAAAGGTTCTATAAGTGAGAGTTTTATGGAGACAGGCAAAGAGGATAGCTCAGTAGGTAAAGTGGTGGCCCCATGATCGGAAGGTCGGGGGTTCGACTCCACTGAACGGCTACCCTGAGGTACCCCTGAGCAAGGTACCGTCCCTACACACTGCTCCCCGGGCGCTGCACTGGTGGCTGCCCACTGCTTCACTGAGTGAATGGGTTAAATGCAGAGGAACTATTTCCCTATGGGGACTAACACGCACACTTTACTTTACTTTTACTTTCTTTGGAATCAGCTTCTCGTATAGGGGCAGCAGTCTTTCTCCTTTGACCTGTAACACACAGAAACCTTTTAAATTAAGTGAACAACAACAAAGAGACATGTCTGAAGCACAGGTATTAAACTGCTGCAGTTTGAATTATTAATGGTTAAAGGTTGGTTAAAAATAATCAAAATGTTAACAGAAATATACATAAAGGAGGCAAATGAGATTAACATTCATGAGAGCTGCAGTTTATGGGACCTTTGGTGATTGTCCACATAACCTTTAGACAACATTTAAAACAGTTATGGGATGCAATCATACAAGCATTGCAGAGTATTACAAAAAATATGCTTTTAAAAAAAGTACTAAAAATGCAATGTTTGGTATTCTTGCTCATGACTAACCTTCTTCATGTAGAAGCTGCTTTGAGGAAAATGCTGACCAGTGGAGCTACGAAGTGACAAATAACATCCACAGACATGATCTTCTCCTGGTAGCACCTGCACCAACAAAAGCATAGCACGCTTGATGCTCACATACAACCTGGGAAGCCAAAAGTCTGTACATGTAGTATACTGCATATTGAGCTGCAGCATCTGTTCTAATGCACAGATTGGCTATGATTATTCACTTTTAGGACATACACACAAACAGTTTCACCTTAGGACAGTCTGAAGACACTGTGAGCTGGAAAAAAGCTCACAGTATCACAGAATGAGGCTGACCATCTTTCTGCTAGAAGGAGTTACTCCACGTCTTGGAGCATATCCGTTTGTTCAGTGATGACGCAACGAATCCTACTTCCGGGTCTAAAGTAGTCTGCGTTTAATATGGCTTTTGTGTTGTTAACATGTTTAATGTTATGTATTTTCTTCTATTTGATCTCAAAAGCTCCTAAAACAGCCAGTGATCACTGTTGACCTCCCTCGGCTTTTATTACCGCTAATCATTTATTTAAGCTCAGTTTTTAAAACCTTAGGATGTAACTACAGCCCAGCCCATGCAGCAGTATATGAATGACTAACCTCGTATTGTGGATGGATTATCTCAGTTGTTCTCCTGGCTGAAGTTTGGTCCTTTTACAGCATCCTACCATGCAATTACATTTGTTCCTGACCACCGAGAACACTCACGGTAACTTTTATCGAGTGGAAAAAAGTTAGCTTGTTTATATTATGCTAACATAGCTGTGTCACTAGCGGTCACGTAGCACATCATTATATACTAGCTAGTCCAACTTCAGTAACCCTACAAACGTCACTGCTGTTTAGTTTTCTGTCTTCATTTATGTTGGAAGTGATAGCAGAGCTGTACGTTTTAATTTGTTTCCAAAACCCCGCAGTCAGGACATGCTATATTGTATTTAGATAGAAGCTAGCGAGCTAACTCCCTGCTAACTTCTAACTCCGTTAAATGTCATAAATTCCGTTTTCATGGATGCCTGGATGTTAAACTCAATTGTTACACCTGGTAGAGCAGAACGCTGATCATTTTATTAAAGATGAAAGACTTTAGACAGTTTTTCAACTCTCAGTAATGCCATAGTGATCGTTTGATATATGGACCTGCAGCGGAGTTTAGACCCACACACGGCTAGTGACGTTAGACTGAACAACCGGATAGGTTTAGGAGTTGAGAAAGGAGGTAGGAAACTCCGGCTAGGCAAGTTTCCACCTTTGTGGGTTTTTGAAGTGGGTTGTGAGTTATCAATCTTCCTGTTCATCCGGTGTACTCGCATGCCAAGGTTGAAGAGCTTGAAGTGATATTGATATGACTCATGGCTTACAAAGCAAAGAGAGCTCAAGGCAGATTCTTGGTGTCATATTATTCACTTCTGCAAAAGGACTTCACACTAAGTCAAAATTGAATTTGTGAAAATGAAATAGTGATTTCTACCTGAAGTGTGTGCCTAAGTTGAGGCCGGGACGAAAAGGTCAGTCAATGGCAACTGTAGTTCCAGTGCCAGTGGCAGAGAGCAGGACAGTGTGCGCCTGACTGTCCTGTATAAAGATCTCCAACTTGCCCTCGAACTGAATCATGTCCTTCAGGTGTTCCACAACCTTGAGCTCCAGCTGGCCCCGTGGCAGTACAGCTGCCTCACTGGACTCAACACGCTAAAAGGACTCTCTGGTGGCCTAAGGAAACATAGGAGTTATAATCTGAGTCAACTTACAGTGTGAACCTGATGAGCTGAGGTGTTACCACAGAAAGCCTCACCTAGAAAAGAGGGGCAGTGCGGTCCTTCCAGTAGCTCTTTCCATCACTGAAATGTGGTGCTTGAAAATATCTCCCCTGTGCGGGCGTTTTCTATAACTGTGTGGCACAATGCTACTGAGATCCTTGAGAGATAGATGTGTGTATATCATATAGCTGAATAATCACATCACCACTTCTATGCGGCATGAGATCCTTGAGTTGGAAATAGAGCAGCAGCTCTTTGCCTGACATATAGTAAGTAAGACAAAACATATCCCTACTCTGAGGAAGGCTAATGTGTGGATGCACGTTAAATAAGACAAGTGTAACTTATGCTAAAATCTGCTATAAAATACACAGAGATATAAACAGGAGAATAGCTTTTAAAATAGAGCTGCTGCAACACAGCTATATATATTTATTTTATTTCGCAGCTTTGCGGATTGTTCGATTGCACTTTTCCAAATAAAGACCAGTGTAATGAGAAAACAGACGTAAATCGAATAAATCTCTGCAGTCTTTAAACACAGCAGATAGCTTTTCATTGTGCTCAGCGTAGTGTACATATATCTGACCAAGCAGTGGTCGAAATCGCAATCAATGTTCTATACAGAAGCTCTGCTGATCTATGGTTGGAGCATAAACTTTTAATTGGGGTTTTGAAAATGAGCTTCCTATTAATGCGGTGAAGCTTGCGTGCTTTCACTGCCTTATAGCACAACAAAGTAAATCGGTGCTTAAAAATATTTTCACTCAAACTTAAATATAAAGCTTTCACTGCATTTTGACATTGAAAGCCACCTTCTCAGTTTGAAGGAGAGATGATACGTATGAGGAAAAATGTCAAACAGCCAAAACTTGACCAGTGAGTGACTTTGGAAGTCGCAGATCACTTTCTCAGCATTTGTACAATCGAGGAAAGAGGCTGCTGAAAGCTGGCTTGGACCGGGTCGATACCAGGGTGATCGTGGTGAAGGGGTGGGTGGAGTCAAAAGAGGAGAAAGAGCACAGGGTTGACTCCCCTGGGTAAGGAGCAAGACGACTGGAATCTCAATAATCACATCAAACCTGCTGCATCACACAGCTCGATTAGCATTGATTGCTTTTAAATGCAGCACAAGATGGAAGGGTTTAGAATTCTGATTTGTGCTGTATGGTCTGCTGCTATCAACAGCGCATAAAAGCTTAATAAATCCTGTATTGATGGTGCAGAGACTACTGCCAGCCAAATTTGATGTCAAACAGTAATACAGAGCGACAAAATCGACTGTCAAAAAAAAGCAGCAAACTCAAAATTAATATTCTGAGTTTTAATAACGTTTCTCTTTCAGTTTTCCAGTTCTTATGTATCACTGACAGGAGAATTTAAAAAACATGAATAAAAGTCTGCTTATGTAAGGGATTCTCCAGGAAAGCAAATGTGTTCATGTGCAGCCTGCAGTGCTCACACAATTCTTCACTGCCTGTCTGAATGGTTCGACACCATATAAGATAACAGAAGTCCAGGATGGATGAGGAATGAAGTCGTTCCCACGGATGGTCACTTACATGACAAGACAGACTGGGTACCTTATGCAATATCCCCGTGATCTTCTGTCATCAGGTCTATTTGTGTGGTTCTTTGCCAGCCTATTGAGCGAGACGTAATGTAATTCTAGGAGAATCTGCATCGATTGACGCCTGAGAGTGCAGAGGAGAAACTCCTTTCCCCAACACTGCCTTAGAGGAGAGGACAGGGTCATAAAACTGCAGTTACACAGGGGTTTGCCTGTGTGTGTTTAAAATTGTGCATGTGGATGGTTGTGTCTATGTCAGCTTTGGAAGTATTGAGGTACAGTTCCAGTCACAAGTTGGCTCCTCGTGGATATCAGGCAACGCTGATATGACAGTACGTAGGGAGGGAAGAGCTTTCAGAGAAAAGTGAAACACTAAATATGATAAACTGTGGCTCTCTGGTTGCCAGAAAGTTTAGTGTTTCATTTACCATGAGTAAGCACTATAAATGCATACAAGTGGAACATAACCATTTTAATTTAAAAGGCTTTTAAGACCTAGAAAAATCAAACGTAGTTAATGTGGAAAATGTCTTAATATGTAGGTAACAGCTGATAACACTGAAGTATCATTTGAAGAGTGAGAGATAGAAGTGGAAGTCTGTTATACAGCATGGGTTAATCTACTATTTGTGCATAAATGTTACAATATCCAAAAGCGAGGCTCTGTGAGTTGATCGTTAAAATTGTTCTACACTGACAAAATATGTCACCATTTGACTGGATTGTAATGTATATATAATGTTTATAATATATTCTCCTGTGGTAGGACTAAAATTGAAGTGGCAGCTAATTATTTCAAAAGCTAACAAAGCAATTAAATCATCAGCTCATTAATTACATATCCAATTGGACTGAAAATGAATTAGTCACAGGAGCTAAGGAAGACAGAAAGCCAGTACGTGAACTGATAGATGACTTGAGAGATATGTAGTAAATCCACTCTTAAACCTGGATAACGCTGCTTTTTTTCCCCAGATGTTTACTGTATGCTTCCAAATGCTTTAGCATCCCACTATGAGACGTAAGCTCATATAAAGTTGTGTTGTTTTGTTTTAAAGTGTATAAGAATTTCTAAATCAATTTTTAGTATATGCCTGCCCACCTATGCCACAAATTCTAGTGTCTGTATCATGGTAGTAGTAAAGTGAGCTGGAATAGGTGACTGGGTACAGGTGCAGGGTTTTGGCAATGCTCTTCAGAACTGGGATTTTGCCAAAGCTCAGCTGTGGGCTTTGGATGTGAACTACTGGTCCCTGTCCAATACATGACAAGGCCACCTCCTGGAACAGAACAGAAATATTCAAGGATCAAAGAATAAATATTATGTCTTTATTCAGATATCAAACATATTTAACTTAGAGTCCAACACAAACACTTCCACTGACCAGGTATGGCTGGAGGCTGCTGAACACAGCAATTCATAGAGTGCTGCGGCGCTTTCCAACAGTCTTAGCAGGGAGACACACAGAAAGCTTCTCTGAGCTGCCGGGATGAATCACTCGTCTAGGTGCAGAACTGCTTAAAAGCAGTGATGGATTCTCCTCATTTTCCTGAATACAGAGACAGGAAAAAAAATATACATTTTAATGCAGCCATAGTGCATCAGATGTAATTGTGGAACTTGCCTCCATACATGGGATGAAACATTTGTGACATTTGTGAAATCCACAGTCCCACTTAGTGTTCATCACTGCTGTATAAACGGATAAAGCACAGTAATGGATAATATGAGGTCAGCTTTTGTTGTCTTTTAAACCTTCATTTGTCTCAAAAAATAATTTCTTACTTAGCGACAGTGCGGCAACAGCTTATTTAGGTATTCATTTATGTACACCAACAACCTGCTCGAGATCAAACTGAACATCAGAAAGAGGAAGAAAGAACATGGTATGGTTGTTGGTGCCAGGCGATCTGATCCGAGTATTTTAAAAACTGCTGCTCTGCTGGGATTTGCCCACACGATCATCTCTAGGGTTCAGAGAATGGACCGAAAAAGAGAAAATGTCCAGCAAGTAGCAGTCCTCAATGTGAATATGCTTTGTCGATGCCAGTCTCATGTTCAATGGGGTGAGTACCCAAATACAAGACAGTTGCCGGATGTATCTGTATCAAATGCTCAGGCTTTTAAGGATATTTTCTTAGTCCACTTTAGGCCCCTTACTGCCAAGTGAGCATCATATTCAACACCACAGATGCTACTTGAATGTTATTGCTGTCCATCTCTTTATCCATGTTCTCATGGCTGCCTCTAACATAATAAGGGCCAGTTCTGAATTCAGAAGGGGGTTGCAATCTACTAATAAAGTGGTCAGTGAGTGTATTTCAAAAATAATTGATGAACACTAAGGCTAAACAATCCAAAAAAAGATATCTTCAAAGTAGCACTTTCACACATCACCAAAGCTCAGTAAGGGAAGCGAGGACGAGAAGATGTGTCCCCATTACCACACAGTAATTACATTAAGACAGAATCTCTTCAGTCTGGACAAGAGAGACAATTAGAGCAACCAATAAGTCATTAGCTGTGTTTTTGGCAAGCTGTAAGACGATCCTTTAAACAAATGAGATATAATGTTTTTGTTACTGAGCTTATGACGATTTTCTTCACCTTTAGAAAAAGCCAGTTAGTATTTTTTCACATTTTTGGTCTTTATGCTAAGCTAACTGTCTCCTCGCTCCTACTTCATATCGACTGAAAAGGAACATGTATGCTCTAATTCACTTCAGTTCATAACACAGACATGTAAACTCTATAAATCCTTTTTTTTTTTTTTGTTGCTGCATGGATCTGTCCAACCTGATCAAGCATGCCGTAGCAGGCAGGCAAATTGCTAGAGTTGGTCAACCGCACTTTCTGTTTATAGGGGTAATTGAGGAGTCCAGCACTGGAGTATCCACCACAATCTCAGGCACAACACACCTATCAACACAGACAAAAGAAGAGAGTCAAGACAAGTAGAAGAGAAACAGCGAAATGGGTGGAGAAGAAAAGATATGAAGAGTATTTATGGACCAAAAAGTAATTGCACGGCATCATGCCAAAACTCTATTAATTAGAATGAATTCATAAAAGTATAATGACGGTGATTGCCGTGAGGAAGTCAGATTGCCACTGCCCTATTCTGAATGATGATGCAGGTGACATTCCATTGTATTATAATGCAAATTAGCTTCTGAATATTTAACACATCCTCCACTGATTTGCCGACACCTGCATGCAAGTTCAATGGACCACATTCACAACTTGTCAAAGCATCAGAACATGCAGACAGCTGAAAGCACAGCAGATTACTAGCAGAAAAAAGGTACTTTATTCGAGAAAAAAGGATGATAGAAGAGTTTGCTAGCAGGGATTTTGGGTACCACAGTGTATATAGTTGTATACTTAAGTACATATATGTAGCAGGTGTCATGTGGCAGATTAAGGCTGTATTACAGTCTATCATGTAGTTTACAGTTTACAGAGATCTTTTGTTCCCTTGTTTGAGTTCTGTGTGTATACGTCAGGTGAGGGGCAGCCAATCAAAATAAAGTGGGCTTTTACAACTAACAGGTTTAATAGCAGAGAATCTAAAGTGCTTTGTTTGGCACAGATGGTCCAATATAACTTAAATATATTTTTAAAACTGTGAATGATTCAAAGCTCTAGTGGAGTTCCAGAATAAAATTAATTAATTAATTAAATAAAACAAAGATTGAGCTGGTAATGAGTGTCACAAGTCCCTTTTTAATCTATAATGACAAATAAATTGAGATGAGTAAAAAGTACAGTATATCAAGACAATCATAGATAATTTCATTGAATTTGTGTGTCATATTCTCCACCCGAGACACCATTACACCACTGCTTTCTGTCAAACATAAACATAAACTCTAATTTTCTAAGAAGAGGTTGTATTCTATTTTCCTTTGGTAGAGGGATGATGAATCATTGTTATTCATTCTTTTTTTATTGAGTATCTTTTCAAATGAAACAGCCTCAGGGCACAAAAGCAGAAATACAGGAAGGTACAGGATGTTTACTTGGATTTATTTTACCACAAACTAACTTCAGCAACTGAACGTTTGAGTAAGTTTTCACACTCAACAGACTGTGTATGTTCACATGTAAATGTGTCTAACCTAGCCTTCATAGACAAAGACAGCATTTCCTCCCCGACGCCGTCAACATCCACTACTAGCACCGGCCTGTGTGTTCCAACAGTGTTGGAGTACAGCGTCACCTGTACGCACCTGATGATGATGATCATGAAGCCATTTATTTGTCATTTGCAGTTCCCTGCAGCAAAATTGGACCTCTTCCGACCATACATACAATACACAAACATCACATCGGGTAGGCAGGTCAGAACAGGTAGCGTAAAGAAAAACAATGAAATGTACAACAAAATAGGGAGATGGAGGAGAGAAAAACAGAACTCTTCTCATACTGAGCTCCTAGTAGGAGCTCAGTATGAGAACAGAAAACAAAAGAAACTCCTCAGCACAAAAAGCTCATGAATCTTCACAACATAACACCATGAAAACACATCACAAGCAACAGGGGTGGGTATGAGGTGAGAGTTTTCCGGTGTAATCAGCAGCATCTGCTATGCATCATACACACACACAATGAGGCCAGGAAGACCAGTACAGGAGAAATACAGGAAAACCAGTGTCTAAAGTTAAAAGGAAAGAAGTTAAAGTAAGAAAAAAATTCACCTTTAGCTTTATAGTGTTACCCATTATTAACAAAGCAGCCTGATAAAAATGCGGATGGAACTAACTAGGTCAGCTTTCTTGCGTTAGCATAGCAAGTCTTGCCCAGACAAGAGGCCTGCTTCTGTCTGACTGGTAAAAGTGCCCTTCCCTGTGGTTTGTCAATACAAACTCTAGTGATGTGTGCTGTGTTCATGGTGCACTTTGAAAATGTTTATAATCTTGGTAATCCATGAGCTAATGTTGGCTGCATTGTTGCACTATACCATTATACTAAAACTGGTATGCTAGCTCTGGTCTCTGATTAATTGTTGATTAATTGTACCTTAATGGATTTATCTGACACAGTACGGACTGAGCCTGTTGCCGGGCAGATCGTGAATTCCACAGGCCTTGAACGAAGATTTCCAGCAGTATGACCTTGCCAATTTTTTCATGACTCATCAGAAACCTTTCTAAATAAGCTAATGCTAGGCGAGGCCCGACCATCTCCCCAGACATGCAATATGAAGTTCACGGGCACAAAGGAAGGTTTGAAAAGGATGCACACAAGTGTTTCTGGGAAACCTATGTAGAGAGAGAGCCAATATGAGAAAATATGAAGATATTAATATATGTTATCATGCACGTAAGGATGAAATCCAAGGAAAAATGTAGCATACCAAAGGCTACATCCCCAAAGTCGAGCTCTGAAACATCAAAGTGGATTGTAGGACAGATTAAACAGACAAAGAAAAGAAACCTTGAAAAGAACAAGATGAAAAATCTGAAAATAGGTACAGAGAAGGTAAAGGATCCAGGAGTCAGTTTTTACATTTGCTTGTAACATGTAAATGTTCTGTCAGAGCAATGGCTCCATTCCTCGCCAGCTTTACCTAAAGTTTTTTGTTTTTTTCTGCCTGTCCCGTTTGGCTCTTTTGCCATCAGAATTATTGTCTAAAGGCGAAGAAAGATGCCCAACGGATTTACTTTACCAAACTGACCATCCCAGCCTTGCCGTAATGGTCCATTTGATTCACCTTTTATTGTTTATTTTATTTTCACTTGCTGGGACAGACTTGACTGGGGGAAAGAAGGGGAGAAAGAAAGAGAGGGAAAGAAAAACAGCTAAGAAGAGGGACGGGGGAGAAGGGCAAAAAACAAAAACCAACAGAATAAGCAGAGAAAAAAAAATACATATATCGAGCTTTACCTAAAGTTGAAGGTAAGTGGTTGAGGCTGTCCTGTCACAGCTAGCAGCAAGTCCTCAGAAAATGAACCCAAAATCCGACTGCGAAGGTGACTTCCACAGTCTGGTACTCCCAGAGGGAACAACACAGCAGAGAAACTTCGGCCAAAATCAGCCCTTTATTCGACAACTGCAACTGGAGAAGAAAGATTTCCTGTATAAGCTAAACTCAGTCAATAAGAGTTTGCAATATATTATCATAAAACTCAAAATGAAGTGTGTGTATTAATGAGAACCTTCACAGACATGTGTGTATTAATGTTGAAACAGAAGAGTAAATATCCAACAATCATCATGTAACTACCAGATGTGTTTTATGGAGTATATCAACAGATAAAAGATGGTACGTGGTATCAGCTGTGTGCATAAAAAGTGGCAAAAAAAACCTGCAGATGATTTTATTACACCTTGTTGCTGACTGGCAGAAGAACCACCTTGCAGTATAATAAACTATAACCACAGAGGCTCTGTCAACTAACATAACGTTGCATCTGCAGCGTTATACATACATACTAGCAATTTTATAAAGGAACATAAGTGTATGCAGCTTATATGTCTTACAAATGCTTATGGTATGATCCACACACGTAAACGTAAATGATTTACAAATGCAGGCAGTGATTTGTGTGAAACTTTTGAGGACTCACAAGCACGTGCTACAAAACTATTTTACAACTGTCTATACCTAAACCTGAATGAATATTTATAATTACAAATGCCTAATAATATATTTGGCATTACTCTCGCTCACTTACAAAACCTTAAATACGTGTGCCGAAATCTCCTGATACACACAGATCACGTTGCATGCCCAAGTGGGGTTTTGAGACAAATTTCATGCTGTCAGCTTCGCACTGATCCACAAATGTAAGCTGTGTTCATGTGCTAGTGTAAAACTGGGACATCTGTGCTTCCTCTGTCCTGTGGGATTTTTTTCCCCAGTTAAACTGGGCTTTGCTTCTTCTAAATAAACAGAACACCCTTCTACTAGAAAACATAGATTTACCAATTACAGATACTACACGGTGGGCTATAAAGGTTAACATATGGCTAAGCTTCTGCTACTTGCTGCTTGCAAACTGAGTCAGACTTCAGCTGCAGATGGTTGAACACGTTGTACATCACTGTGGATCATACTCTGAAGTGACTAAATACTAACTAATCTCTGCATAATTTGAATATAGATATAATCCAGGTAATGTGAAATAACACTTTGATGTTAATCTTAGCATTCTCTAATAACAGCAGGCTAACATTAATGTTAGCTTAATGACTAATCCTGAACATCTCAGGATGTAGCAGCAGCTTATTTAAACCATATGTTAACCTTGACAGACTACTGTGTGGTGCCTGTAATTGGAAAATCTATGTTTTTTCTGGGTGACGAGTTCCTCTTTTTTGTTTAGAAGGAGAAATGCCCACTTTATTTGAAAAAACCACAGGACTACAAGCAGGATGTTTGTTAGTCCCTAAAAGTTAGCCACAAATCATGGCACATGTTTGAAAATCATAGTCTACACTTATGAAGCATACTGTATGCATTCGTAACCCTTGTGAGACATATTTCTCCCATTACAAGTGTTCGTTTTGGCTCGTTTTTCTTATCTCTTGATAATATTATTGTTCTCCTATGAAAAAAATCTAATAACTCAATCCCATTATGGTTGAACTCAAGTTCAGGTCCCATACTTTTACCCTTGACTGTGAGGGGTAACCGTGATTCACGTCCTAAGGCAGAAAACAGACAAAAATGATGAAAGAGTGATAACAAAGCTAGAAAAGACAAAGCAAAAAACATGTTGTAGGGCCATGGAAAAAGGAAAAGGCAACATATCATGTAGAGTTTGGTATTATGGTTGGTGTTACATTACGTTAAAGTACTAAATCTAATCAATGCAAAGGCCACATGAGATCTAGTCTTCTGTTTTGCTTTATATGTTTCTTAGGCTTTTTGCAAAGTGAGGAAATAAGGCACAAGAGTCTCCTGTCTCTCTGTCCTTGTCCTAGGCTCACTAGGTCACCACGCACCGCAGAAAACATGAAAATTAATGTAAATCTGACCTCCGGCTCAAACGACACACATGAAGGCCACATGCAAAACTGTCAACAATCTTTTACTAGCACTTAGATGAGATGACTAAATTTGGGCACAGTGAGTTCATCGTCACGAAGGTGGATTTATGAAGAACAATTGTGCTGTTTCCTTTGATTGAGAATATCACACGGTTGAGGAAAAGGGAACATAAAACAGATACACTGGAGAAGAGCTGTCGTTCCCTAAAAAAACTAACAAACAGACAGACATGGTTTGCTACCCAGACTTGTTTATCTGTAAGTTGTCTGCACTAACCCACAGAGGAAAGGAGATTCTTTTATGAGAAAGCTAAAGCTTTCAATTTACAGCAGGGGTATAGTGTGTGCTTGTAGCTGTCAAAGTAATCAATTGCAAGGTTGAAAGAACACACAAAAGAAGAGTTACATCCAGGGGTGTACGAAGGGTTTGAGATGAGGAAACAACTGTTGCTGTCAGTTTGCTATAAATGCACTCAAAATACTTTTGGTTCATTATCTTCTCACTTCAAATCCTGTTGTTTATTTGGCTATGTGTGATTGGGTCTTTTGTTTTTATGACTAAACAAGTGGGAAAAATTGGTTTGTACATCTCAAACTCTACAGCCAAAGTAGAATAACTGTGGAAGTTACTGCATTTTGCACTTCATCACATCTTCATGTTCAATACAGCAATGTTGAGTATCTGGTTACTTTGACACCAAAGGAGAATTATCTTTTACTTTTTCTTAAACAACTAAGCTTTTACGGTACACCAGTTCAGATGTGCATGTTTCATCCAGAAGCTGTAGGATATCTCAGTCAGCACTACAAGATACACATACATGCACTGCTGTATGTGTGTGTATGTGAAACCTGAATGATCATAATTTTCTTCTAGCTGTGGACTGACCTGTGACATCGCAGTATATAGTTTGGCATCCTCAGGCTTGAAGATGATTGTGAAATTTGCTATGTTGTTGGACAATATTTCCCCCTTCGGAACCACGTGAAGACAAGAAGGATTATTTAGTGAAACAAATGCAAAAGTTAGAATAACAAGCCTGAAGAAGAATACAATTGATTCATTTGTCAAGCTTAGCTATAAAAACACACACACACACACACACACACCGGTGTCTGTCTCTGTGTGTTTGGGTAACTGGATAGGTGTATTCATACACAGACTGCTGACCATTTTTCCTCAAATGCCCTCTCAAACATTGTGTAGTAACTGGTCTACAGACTGTTTTCTCTCTCACCATGACACTTTCATCCTCTCTGCCTCTGTCTTTCATCTGTGTCCTCTCTCCATCTGTCCAGGGAACTGGGCAGAGTTGAGGAGAGACGACACTAACAGAGAAAGGTGGGGGCGGTGGTGTCAGAATGGGTCATTCTGTCTGAAGGTCCCTGAACAGAAACAGTCCAGTCTGGGACCCTACTGTTACCGAGGAGTCACACGGGGTTTAAATGCAAAAAACAGGTTTGAATTTTAACTCTTTGTGACAGTTTTAAGCTCAGATGTGATTAACCGATTCAACACTGTTCTCAAAGCAGCAATGCAGCTTTGATGCCATACAGCAATACATGTCCTACAGAAAGATCCACAAAGACAATGAAGTGGATATTAAGAAGGGAAATATTTTTGTGATGAAAACATATGATACACATTAAAAATTTCATAGGCTCCACAGTTATGCAGCTATCTGGGAAGGCCAAAAGCTGTATTCCTGTAGGAACTGCAGGAATACAGGAAAAAGCAAGTGCTCCCGCTCTCCTTCTGCCTCCTGCTCAAGCACTGAGCCTTCCCTAGAGAGAAACAGGGAGGGTGAGAAGGTGAAAAGTATAACAAAGAGTGAATGAGGAGGGTCAAAGAGAAAAAGAAGCAAGGAGAAGAACAAGGAGCTGCTGACAGAAAAACGTGATGAGTACCTGAGCTATTTCTGGCAACACATGCTGTGATAAAAAAGAAACATAATACTGAAGAGAATTCTACTTGCTACGTAGAGACAGAACGATCAAACTTGTCTTGTGACAAACATATTCCTCTGTAGCCTCTCTTAAAACATTTTGCATGTGTCCATAAATACCTCAGTAAGTTTAGGTCCTCTTGCTGGCTGAACCACACAGTCCAGCGGTACTGAAGAGGGATATTGTTCCTGTTGGTGAGGGACACTGTGCATGTACTGGACAGTGAGGTATAAGTCTTATCCAACCAACTAGAATCAGGTTCAAGATGGATGTTCAGTTCCTCACAAAGCCCATGCAGGCTAATGTACACATCTGCTCCTGAGCACAAGACACTGCGATGTTTATTATGAGACACAGAGTGTCACAGACGTGGTGGCATATAGGCCACAAGAAATTAACTTAACAACTGTGGTGCTCAGTTTGAGTCAATCTATTCACAATATTGCCTGACATTCATGGAAACCTTTCACTTCATTTATCTAAAGATCTCAGTGTCTTGACATGAATGCGGGTGGAGAATAGTGGGAAACTTACAATGTCAAAAAACACCAAGTGGAAAATAAATATGATTAAAATACCAGTACATCACACATACGTGTGGGTATGGCAAACATGCTTTCAAGTATTTGAAGAAGCCAGAAGTACCACAGTCTCTTCATTTTGCAGGACAAACAGGGTCCCATCATATGTGCAAACTGCCAACAGTGCAGCAAAGAGCAACAATAACCAGCAACAAAAAGTACAATGCAAAACTAGGTTTTGTATAAAGCCACCAAGAATAAGGCCATATGTAAATTGAACATGTGTTTGTTTACATTCAAAGCAGAAGGACGAGCATCTTAGTCTGCACAAACACTCTACTTATTCTTTTCTGTATTTGTATACCAAGGTTAAAGTTTTTTTCTGAACTCTAAAGACTGAACACTGATTTGTGTCTTTTTCTGATGTTTTAACCATAAAGCAGTGAAATTAAGGGAGATTTCTTGAAATGAAATGAAAATGGGATTAAAGTGAACTGACAGCCATGGAAACTTGCCATTTATGATTTCTTTGAACCCTCAGTTTTGTACCTCATGCCTTTTGGATCAAACACAAAGAATGCACAATGTAT